AAATAAATAAGTAAATAAATAATAAATGGAATAATAGATTTAAATTGATATAAATGGCACTTTTCAGGAGAAAAAACGAGAAAAAATAAGCACTTTACGCAAACCCTAAACCCTAAACCCTAAACCCTAAACCCTAAACCCTAAGCACTAAACCCTAGACTTGCGTTTTCAAGCTCGTCAAGGTTTTCTTCAATTCGGAAATTTCCACTTGCGCTTTCAGCGCGGCACCTGAAGCCAAAAGCAAACCCTAAACCCTAAACCCTAAACCCCAAAACCCTAAACCCCAAACCCTAAACCCTAATTATCGAGCCCCAACTTGAGGGTTTTCAGCGTCACAGCTAAACCCTAGCTCTGAACGCCAAACCCTAAACCCTAGCCCTCGCCCGGGACCGTTAACTTGACCCCCAAACCTTAACCCCTAATCCTAAACCCTAAACCCTAAACCCTAAACCCTAAACCCTAAACCCTAAACCCTAAACCCTAGTGCGCTTACATGTCAAGCAAGTTCTCGATGTTTTTCCACAACGAGGAAACAGCTTTGCTGTTAGAGTCAAACTCGCATATCAGGCTCTGCCGGCGCAAACCCTAAACCCTAAACCCTAAACCCTAACAACGCCAAACCCTAAACCCTAAACCCTAGAAAGTGTCACCAAGAAGTCAAGTCCGCCCGCGCCTTTCTGCTGCTGCGCCAAACCCTAAACCCTCATCCCCCGAATCGGGGGCCGGGGGTTTAGGGTTTGGCGCTTAAGCCAGAACTAGGGCTTCCCCCTACCGCCTGGGGCTTAGGGTTTAGGGTTTAGGGTTTAGGGTTTAGGGTTTAGGGTTTACGCACAACGTCGGGGTCTGCAGGGCTCAGCTGCACTGCATGCAAACGCCCAAGTGCTGCAGCAATTTCATTTGCAAAAACCTCCAAACCCTCAGGGTTTAGAGGAACCCCCGGGACCCAGGACTCGATGACTCCTCCCTTCGCGCAAACCCTAAACCCTAAACCCTAAACCCTAAACCCTAAACCCTAAACCCTAAACCCTCGGGAGCCGCGGCTGCAGCCGGCGCAGCTCCGGCCGCAGCCGCCCAGCCCACACTCGCGCTGCAGCAGCTCTCTAGGGTTTGCTCGCGCGCAGCAGCAGGGCTTGCTGCTCAGCTAGGGTTTAGGGTTTAGGGTTTAGGGTTTAGGGTTTAGGGTTTACTTGGAATGATGCCAAAATGGTTTTACCCCCACCGCCCTTCGCCAAAAGCTTCAACACGGCGCTTTCCCTTTGCCGGTCAATCCACAAAGAGGTATTGCGGCCTGCGCACAAACCCTAAACCCTAAACCCTAAACCCTAAACCCTAAACCCTAAACCCTGAACCCTGAAGCCTGAACCCTGAGTTCTAAACCCTAAGCTGTAAACCCTAAACCCTAGACCCTCAAGACAAGCCCAAGCAGGGGGAAGCCGCCGCGAATGCTGAAAGGCAGGGTCAGGCCGAGGGCGGGACCTAGGGTTTAGGGTTTAGGGTTTAGGGTTTAGGGTTTAGGGTTTGGGACTTGCCATAGAAACGAATGAGGCAGCAGGGCCCCTTTTTGTCTCTCCTCGAAACCCTCACAATGCTGTTGGTGGTTCCGCCTCTCAAGAGGCTTCCCTTGAGTTGCTGCTGCAGCTGCTGCAGCAGCTGCTGCTGCTGGTAGCTGCTGCTGCTGCTGCTGCTGCTGCAGTCAGGGTCCGAAGCAGCAGCAGCAGCAGCAGCAGCAGGGATTCCCAAGTACGCAGGCACCAGCTGTGCGGCCTTCAGAAGTGCAGCAGCAACGAGAGCTTCCTCCTGCTGCTGTCGCTGCCGCTGCTGCTGCTGCTGCTGCTGCTGCTGCTGCTGCTGCTGCTGCTGCTGCTGCTCCGGCTCTGGCTGCTCAGCGTCCACAGTACTGCCGGTGCTGTTGCTCCGGCAGCGGGAGCTGGCGCCCTGCCATTGCATTTCTGCTGCTGCTGCTGCAGTTACTGCTGCTGCTGCTGCAGCAGGAGCAGCAAACGCAACAGTGTCAGCCTGTTGCTGCTGCTGCTGCAGTGTCTCTGTCATGCTGCTGCTGGAGCTGCAGCAGCAAAAAGGAACAGGCAGCAGCAGCTAAGGAAGGCTTCCTTTGCTGCAAGTCTTCGTGTACGAGCAACAGCAGCGCCACTGCAGCAGCAGCAGCAGCAGCAGCAGCAGGGGCACACTGGAAGTATATTGCTGCTTCGTTATCATTCGAAGTAACTTAATAAACAGAAAAGAATACAAATAAGTCGGAGAGTTACACACGTGCTGCTGCTGCTGCTGCTGCTGCTGCTGCGTTTGGGGCTCCGTTGAGCCAGCAGCAGCAGCAGCAGCACTGCTGCTGCTGCTGCTGCTGTTAGCTTTGACATTTATACTTTAAAGAAACTTCTTTCCTGCTTTTCTTGGCTTTGCTGCTGCTGCTGCTGCTGCTGCTGCCACACGTACACGTTGCTAACTCCCAGGCAGCAGCAGCAGGAACCGCAGCAGCAGCAGCAGCAGCAGCAGCAGCTGCTGCTGCTGCTTCTTAGAGCTTCACTGACATGGATCCTGTTCCTTTTGCGTGGGCGCGCTGGCCTGCAGCAGCAGAAGCAGCAGCAGCAGCAGCAACTGCAGCAGCAGCAGCAGCAGATGAAGAAGCCTCTCTCTGTGAAGAGGAAGAGGCTAGCGAGCTGCTGCAGCTGCTGCACCGACGCGACGCAGCCCCTTGTCTAAGACTGCAGCAGCAGCAGCAGCAGCAGCAGCAGCAGCAAGCCGGTTTAAACGCTCAGAGGGATCTAGGCGGACCCCAGCAGCAGCAGCAGCAGCAGCAGCAGCGCGTGTCTGCTGCAGGGAGCCCCTCAGCCCCGGATGCAGGAGTGGGGTATACAGAGAGCCCAGCAGCAGCAGCAGCAGCAGCAGCAGCAGCAAGCCCTGCAGCAGCAGCAGCAGCAGCAAGTGCAGCAGGGGGGGAAAGCCTCTTTTGGCATGTGCCTTCTTATGGCTGCTACACAACAAGCCCTGTGTACATTCCTTTGCTGCAGCTGCTGCGGCAGCAGCAGCAGCAGCGGCGAGCAGCAGCAGCAGAGCAGCGCAAGCAGCAGCAGCAGCAGCAGCAGCAGCAGCAGCAGCAGCGGCTGCAGGCCGGGAGCCCCGCGGCCCTGCTGCTAGAAGCCGAAGCGTTTGTTGCTGCTGCGCTGCTGCGGCGGCGGCTGCTGCTGACAGCAGCAAACAAGAAACTCGAGGGGCAGCTTGCTGCTGCTGCTGCTGCTGCTGCTGCTGCTGACGAAGCAGCAGCAGCACCAAAGTGGCTGTCCGGGGTGTCTAGACACCTGCTGCCTTATGTTGCTCAAGTCAGCAGCAGAGCTTTCTTTGACCCTCACTACCGCATGCAACTCATGGAAACCCTAAACCCTAAACCCTAAACCCTAAACCCTAAACCCTAAACCCTAAACCCTAGTTGTGGACCTGCTGCGCACTCCCCAAACCCTAGTCAGTCCCAAACCCTCATTCAAAACCCTAAACCCTCGTGGCAAAGTTGTCTTGCTCTTCAAAGTCTAGTCGGGGCTTTAAAACCCCAAACCCTAAACCCTAAACCCTAAACCCTAAACCCTAAACCCTAGAAGCCGCTGGCGCAAAGGCCGCGCACAAAAGAAGCCCAGGCGGTTGGCAGCTGCCGGTTCTTTAGAAGGGCCGCGTGCCTGCTGCCGCTGCCGCTGCTGCTGCTGCTGCTGCTGCTGCTGCTGCTGCTGCTGCTGCTGCTGCTGCTGCTGCTGCTGCTGCTGCATGCGTCTAGCAGGCGCTGCGCTGTGGCTGCAGCAAGCAGGATCACTCCTCGTGTTGCTGTTGCAGTTGCTTCTGCGCCTCTCCATTTGCTGCTGGCAGCAGCAAGCTGTCGAGAGAGAGCAGCACTGGACTTCCAACCTTGCTGCTGCTGCTGCTGCTGCTGCTGCTGCTGTTGCTGCTGCTGTTGCTGCTGAGACACCTGCTGCAGCGTGTCGTAGCAGTAGCCGTACATAAGAGTGGCGACTTGCTGCAGCAGCAGCAGCAGCAACAGCAGCTCCTGCAGCAGCCTCTCGCCGAAGCTAGAGCCTTGCTGCTGCTGCTGCAGCAGCAGCTGCTGCTGCTGCAGTTCCATTGGTAGCTCTTCAAGGGCAATAAAAGCGAAACGGAGGCCACTCAGCAAGCTGCAGCAGACGCTGCTGCTGCTGCTGCTGCTGCTGCTGCTGCTGCTGCTGCTGCTTCGTCCAGTTGCAGCCGTAGCAGCAGCAACTGCCGCTGCAGCAGCAACTGCTGCTGCTGCCTTGACGAGGCAGCCAAGGACTTGCAGCAGCAAAGGAGCAGCAGCTGCTGGCAGCAAAGAGCAGCGGGAAGCAACAAAGCCAAAGAAAGCAGCAAGTTCTGCTGCTGCTGTTCGCTGCATGCGGTGCTGCAGCAGCAGCAGCAGCAGCAGCCTGTACATCGCATGGAACTCAAGCTGCTTCCGCAGCTGCGGCACAGCCACTGCAGCAGCAGCAGCAGCAGCAGCAACACTGCTGCTGCTGCTGTCTTCAGCACTCCCAATGCTGCTGCCTCTGCTGCTGGTGCTGCTGCTGCGCGCGCTGCTGCCAACACTGCAGCTGCGGCCGGGCCTGTTGCTGCTGTTGCTGCTGCTGCTGCAGTCTTCTTCGTTTTCTGCTTCTGTTGCTGCTGGCGGTGAGTCTGCTGCTGCTGCTGAGAAGCCCGTTGCAGCAGCAGCAGCAGCAGCGGCTGCTGCTGCTGCTGTCCTGCTGCTGCTGCTACCGCCTGGGAGCAGCAGATCGATGCACGCGTCTTCGAAACCGTCAATCCACTTTACGGCTTTGCTGCAGCTGCTGCTGCTGCTGCTGCAGCAGCTGCTGCTGCTGCTGCTCTTGCTGCTGCTGGTCCTGCAGCTGCAGCTGCAGCAGCAGCTGCGCAGGAGAAACAGCAGCTGCAGCGACATTTCAATCCCGCGAACAGCTGCGCAGCTGTGGAGCTGCTGTTGCTGCTGCTGCTGTTGC